GAGAATTGTTTGAACTGGGACCCGGGAGGCAGAGGTTGCAGTGAGCCAAGATCATGCCACTGCACTCCAGCCTGGGCTACAGAGTGAGACACCATCTCAAAAAATAATAATAATAAAATAAAATAAAAATAAGCCAGGCTGGGCGCGGTGGCTCAAGCCTGTAATCCCAGCACTTTGGGAGGCCGAGGCGGGTGCATCACGAGGTCAAGAGATCGAGACCATCCTGGTCAACATGATGAAACCCCGTCTCTACTAAAAATACAAAAAATTAGCTGGGCATGGTGGTGCGTGCCTGTAATCCCAGCGACTCAGGAGGCCGAGGCAGGAGAATTACCCGAACCCAGGAGGCGGAGGTTGCGGTGAGCCGAGATCGCGCCATTGCACTCCAGCCTGGGTAACATGAGTGAAACTCCGTCTCAAAAAATAAAATAAAATAAAATAAAAATAAAAATAAGCCCACTGATTAAAGCTAAGGGTAAAAGGAAAGGGATCAAAGCCATGATAAATGTAAGTAAACCATATCCAGAACTTTATAGTCAGATTGTTACAGACCAAAAATAAAGAAAAAACTGAATAACAGAGAATAAAGCATATATAAAATGAACAATAAGAATCAAAGCTGTCTAATCATACACAATAGAGTTCAGAAGATAATGGAACATTTTTTTAAGCTAACTAAAAGAAAAAAATATATCAACTAGGAAATCCATATCTGGTAAAAAAAAAAAAAAAAAAATACCCTTCAAAAACAAATAAGATGAAGGCCAGGCATGGTGGCTCATGCCTGTAATCCCAGCACTTTGGGAGGCTGAGGTGGGTGGATCACCTGAGGTCAGGAGTTCAAGACCAGCCTGACCGGCATGGCAAAAGCCCATCTCTACCAAAAATACAAAAATTAGCCAGGTGTGGTGGCACATGACTGTAATCCCAGCTACTCAGGAGTCTGAGGTACAAGAATTGCTTGAACCTGGGAGGCAGGGGCTGCAGTGAGCCAAAATCACACCACTGCACTCCAGCCTGGGTGACACAGTGAGACTGTCTCAAAAAAAAAAAAAAAAAGAAAATTAGCTGCCAGTAGCCATATGACACAAGAAATGCTAAAGGAAGTTTTTCAGGCTGAATGAAGCTTACAGATTAGTAAAATCCTTACATTCTACAACAAGGTAATATGTTATTAATTTCAAGAGACTGTGCTAAATTAAGGATGCATATTGCAATCCCCAAAATAAATACAAATAATACAGCAAAAGATAACAGATGAGATAAAATGGAATACTAAAAAATACTTGATTAGTCCAAGAAGGTGGAAACAAAAGAAAGAACTAGTGAAACGAAAAATAGCAAGATGGTAAACTGAAACCCAACCATATCAATAATTACATTAAATTAATATGTAGGACTGATGTCACACAAAATGGTGAAGTAGGAAGCTCTAAGGGCTGGTAGCTCCACCAAAGCGACAATGGAACTGGAAAGAGAGATTGGCATCAACAAACTCTTAACTCTGGAACCTGATCAGATACTTCCATAACAACCAGGGGAGTGCTGGATGAATAAAGAGGCTACTATTCTTAGGTGAGTGAGTGGCTTGTGCAAGCAAGCCACCATCCCCCATTTCTCAGTTCATCCAATGCTATGGGATGAGAGGCCTATGTGCCTGGAATGTTGTGTACCAACTAATCACATCCCTCACTCCTCAGCCCCACCACAGCTGTGGGGAGAGCAGCCTGTATTACTGGAACAGCCGGCTGGGACGTGGGTTGGCAGTGTGACCTTGTCTTCCAAAAAATTCAGTTGTGTACTTTGGGGGGTTTTGTGCTTCTTTGAGGAACCAGCACAGATGATTGCCTTGATTTTAGCCCCATCAGCCACAGCAGCTTTCCCCAGAAACATTTATTGGAAGATTTAAAGGGCCAATAGACCTTTTTTTTCTTCCCTTTTTTACAGCCAGATATTTAAGTAAATCTTTGGTACTAACTGACTGCAGAGATGATGAAACAGAAACTTCAGTGACCACATACAATAAGGACTATACAATTTACAAAAAGAGTTTGAAAAAGTCTGACAGCTCTAGCCCTCAACAAGCAGAAATCAGCCATGCCTCAGAAATGGAAAAATTGAATCTCCAGAGGTATCATGTTATAATACTCAAAATGTCCAGTTTTAACAAAAAATTACAAAGCATACAATGAAACAGGAAAACAGGGGGCCCATTCACAAGAAAAAAAGAATCTGACAGAAACCATTCCTGAGGAGCCCAGACATTAAGTGAACTATCCAAATATCCTCAATGAGCTAAAGGAAACCATGGACCAAGAGCTAAAGGAAATCAGGAAAACAATGTATGAACAAAATGAAAATATCAATAAAATGATAGAAATTATAAAAAAGGAACAAAACAGAAATTCTGGAGTAAAGTAACTGAAATGAAAATTTCAATAGTGGATTCAGCAGAAGAAAGACTCAGTGAACTTGAAAATGAGTTGTTTGAAATTATTGCACTAGAGGAGCAACAAGAAAAAGGAATAATGAACAATGAAGAGACCCTAAGGGATTGATGGGATACCATCAAGCACACCAACATATACATCGTAAGAATCACAGAAAAACAAGAGGGATAAAAGTGTAGAAAAAAATTTGCAGACAGAATGTCTGAAAACTTTGAAAATCTGACGAAAGACAGGAATATACACATCTAGGAGGCTGAACAACCTCAGAGAGGAAAAACCCAAAGAGATTCATATCTAGATGTATTACAGTCAAATTATGGAAACCCAAAGACAAAAAGACCAGAACACAGGAAGAAAGCAGCAGCCTACCACATAAAACAATCCTTAACAAGATTAACAGCTAATTTTTCATCAGAAACCATGGAGAACAGAAAGAAAGTAATAGGATGGCATATTGAAAAATCCCAAAAGAAAAAAAAAATGTCAACCAAGAATTCTATACTTGCAAAAACTGTCCTTTAAGAATAAAGGTGAAATTAAGAAATTTCCAGAAAAAACAAAAGCTGAAGGAGATGATTACCAGTAGACCTACTCTAGAAGAAATGTTCGAGGGACTGTTTCAGGCTAAAGTGAAAAGACACTAAAAAGTAACTGAAAGCCATAAGAAGAAATAAAGAACATTGGTAAAGGTAACTACATGAATATAAATATAAAAGTCAGTATTATTGTACTTTTGGTTTGTTGATTTAAAAGACAAATGCATAAAATAATAACTATAAATCTGTGTTAAAATAACCAGGCACTTCAAAGCTACAGCTGACTGTAAAACTACAGCAGGAAAATTTCATAGAAGATGAACCTGTAACACCTTGTTTATCAGAAAATCAGGACATACTCAAAGAATGATGGAGATGTGCCAAAAAGCCATAGAAACTATCATGAAAGGATTCCCACTGACCAAATCTGGGACAAGTTCCAACACTTTGAGTTTCAAAATAAATAACAGAAAAAAATAAAATATGGCCCATTGACTAGAAATCCAACATATGAACAAATGAGAAGTTTGAGAGGTAAACACAATTATTTATTTATTTATTTATTTATTTATTAAGACAGGGTATTGCTCTGTTGCCCAGGCTGGAGTGCTGTGGCGCAATCTCAGCTCACTGCAGCCTCAACCTCTCAGACTCAAGCAATCCACCCAGCTCGGCCTCCTGAGTTGCTGAACTACAGGCACGCACCACCACACCCAGCTACTTTTTTTGTAGAGATGAGGTTTTGCTATGTTGCCCATGCTGGGCTCGAACTCCTGGACTCCAGCGATCCACCCGCCTCAGCCTCCCAAAGTGCTGGGATTACAGGTGTGAGCCACCACTGTGCCCAGTTCCACAATATTTAATAGTTTCGAAGTTTCTACCCACAAAATACTTACTGAAGGATAAAAGAGTAACTGCACAAGGAGGAAGCCAGCAGACACCACTTTAATCAAGTACTCAGAGTGAATAACATGAGTAATTACAAATTATTCACACTACCCAACAAAATGCAAGAAGAACGCAGCTCAATTCTGTGATAATCCTGCCAAAGATCGGTACTCTAAATCTAATCATTAAAAAAGAACAGACAAATCCAAATTGAGGAACACTGTACAAAATAACTGGCCTGTAATCTTCAAAAGCATCACAGACATATATGCAAATCAAGGAAAGACGTGAACTGTTTCAGACTGAAAGAGACTAAACAATCCAAATTCCACATACAAGAACAACAAAACAATATATTATCTGGCCCCTTCCTATCTCCCTGGCCTAATTTCTTAGCACATGTTCCTTTAATAACTCTACCCTAGAGTTCTGATAAAGTTCCAGTAAAGTTCCTTTCCAACAACAGGGCCTTTGCATTTGCTGTTCACTGTGATTCATCTGTTCCTCCCCCAGATATTCACATAGATTGATCCCAGGCTCAACATCTCTGTTCAAGAAAGCGCTCCCTGACCATCTTATCTAAATTAGCCCTGTCAGTCCCCATCATTTCTATTCCCTTATGGTGTTTATTTTTTCCAAAGAATTTGGTTCATTACATACTATTTATTTATTGATTTACTTATTTGATGTTTCTCCTTTACTACAAAGTAAACTGCTGAAAATGTGCAAGTTATCAAATCTTGTTCATGATTCAATTGATAGTGCTCAGCACAATGCTGGCCAGGAGTAGACATTCATTATAGTATTTGCAGAATTTATAAAATCTGGTTTCTTTGACAATGGTTATGAAATAAATGCCCTATAATGCAAATCCAGCCCCTTGGCTATTAAAGGAGAGAGGTGATTGCAGGGAGGGCCCGTGAAAGGCATAAAGCTCACTGAGGAATGGAGAAGAGCAATGTGCTTAATGAACAAATTTCTAATGCAGCAAGTATAAAAACATGCCCTTGGGAAGTGGGAAAAGAAATTCACCTGGTTTCTTCAAAGTTAGCCCTGTAATTTTCAGTGCAGAAAAACTGATGTTGCAAAGAGGAGATTCTACATTATTTCAGGCAGATGACCTTACCCAGTGACACCAAATTACTATAGTTCTCCAACATCACATCCACGTACAAGTCCCTCTGAGCAGGGTCCAGGCATTCCCACTCCTCCTGAGAGAAGTCGATGGCCACATCCCTGAATGTCACCAACCCCTAAAACCAAAAACCCATGTATTACTTGTGAAATTCAAGAAAACATTACCAAGAAGAAAAAAGAAGGTATGAAGGATAAAATACAAAGAAGGGGAGAAATACAGCAATCAAATAGGCTGAAAGCCTCTGATATAAGTAGGAAAAAGCAAGAAAATCAGTGTGACTAAAGCAGGATGCCAACATGTTCTAGAAGAATCTTGTTATAGCAGAAGAACTTCCAAGATACTATAAGGTAACTCAGCTATCCAGAACTGTTAAAAGAGTGTGTGTGTGTGTGTGTGTGTGTGTGTGTGTGTGTGTGTGTACATCATGTGCATTTACAAAGTGCTATGTGCCTTCCTCAAAAATTCTTTGTGAAAGTGAATTGCTCACCATCTTTCCCCTTTAATAAGAAAACAAGGCCAGGTACAATGATTCATGCCTGTAATCCCAAGCATTTTGGGAGGCTGAGGCAAGTGAATCACTTGAGGTCAGGAGTTTGAGACCAGCCTGGTCAAAATGGTGGAATCCCGTCTCTACTAACAACACAAAAATTAGCCAGGTGTAGTGGCAGATGCCTATAATCCCAGCTACTTGGGAGGCTGAGGCAGAGAATCATTTGAACCCAGAAGGCAGAAGTTGCACTCCAGCCTGGGTAACAGAGCAAGACTCTGTCTCCAAAAATAAATAAATAAATAAATAGGGGAAACATGAAAAGTTTTTGTACTATAAGTCTTTATTTTGTAAAAATGATTCCCAGGCCGGGGGCAGTGGCTCAAGCCTGTAATCCCAGCACTGTGGGAGGCCAAGGCGGGTGGATCACGAGGTCAAGAGATCAAGACCATCCTGGTCAACATGGTGAAACCCCGTCTCTACTAAAAATACAAAAAAAAAATTAGCTGGGCATGGTGGCGCATGCCCGTAATCCCAGCAACTCAGGAGGCTGGGGCAGGAGAATTGCCTGAACCCAGGCGGCGGAGGTTGTGGTGAGCCGAGATCGCGCCATTGCACTCCAGCCCGGGTAACAAAAGAGAAACCCCCCTCCAAATAAAAACACAAAAAAAAAAAAAAAAAATGATTCCCATTTATTTAGGGACTACCACCAAGACTCAAATACATCACTCATAGATTACATCATAAACATTTTTTCTTATGATAAATTTAAACAATATTTTTTATTTGCTGCAATTCATTTTATCCTCTGGATATATGAGATTAATCACTCAATTATATCTGTACATTTAGGCTGAACAAAACTTCCATAGATTTTGTTAACTGTGGAAATTTATTATCATCTAGACCTTAGGCATCACCTTACCTGTTACTGTCAACTACCCTTCACTTACCGCTTTCCTTGTTCCTGAGTTAGAGAGTACTGATATAGGATGTTGCACGTGACACAAATGTCACTCATGACCTACACATCCTGGTTGATGACAAAATGACTTCAAAGTCAACTGGTTCAAAATCCACTGGTGGTAGAGTCCTTTGGTAACTCCAAAGACTACTGGTCTTCATCTCTCAGGTAATTTCTGGGAAGAACCACTCACTCCCCTCTCTCTAATCTCAAGAGCCTCCCAACAAATGCAACCTTAGATAAACTAAGGTTGAGACCAAGCAACCCCAAAGTCCATCTTATCTCTGTGGAAAACTTGGGTCTATAGAGAAGTTCCAAGTTTTTGCATGTGGTCCAATGGGATCCTTATCACTACCTAAACACACTACAGACCTGACACAGGAATGAGAAACTCAGGTGATGGAAATGATGCAGATGTGGCCAGAGGTGATACCAAAAGCCATCACCCAAGACAGCCAAGACGGTTAAATATGAAAGTGCTCCCAGAGAATGCACAAACAACTAACATCGTTCTTCTGGGTGACCATCCAACTGTCTAAGGGCAGAGTGTCTTGACTGGCTTCTTTGGTAGCCACCCTCTAAAATCAGCATTTTAGCCTAAATTTAAAAATACTGCTGTTTTCAAAATCCTTGCAGTCTTTCATTCTCTTCCCTTTATATGAATCCTGTTGGTACCTTTGATAGAGGAAATCAATGCACTATAGGTTTTCCTTGTATATAAGTAAGTGTGTGGTTAACTATATTTCTTTGAGTTATCCTTAACAGAAGCTTAAATACTCCCCTCAAAAGACTCCACTGCTCTATCACTGCTCTCACTGGAAGACTGGGAACACAAGAGATGTTGAATAATATGTTCAACGAATATGACATTGATTAGAAAGGGGAGGGGCACCCGGGGAGGACACTAGGCTATTTGGCACCATCCTCCACTGGAGTAGGAAGAACTGAGCAGGTTCAGGGATGGAGTTCTGTCAGAGAGAAGGCTTTAGGAAAATTAAGGAAAAGATTCACATGCCCTAAAAATCACAGTATTTCATGGAGATAAAAATACCAACTTACATCAGTCATGGTTCTGGAATTGGAAGAATTAATTAATGCTCCATGGAATTCCTCTACTGGCGAAGCACAGAATCCAGAAAAGCCAGAACTGGGGAGGGAAAAGGAAGTATTAAACCAGATGTGCCTCAGTGATGTCATCCTAACTGACACTAATGGAAGATCTTCTCTTCTCCATGCCTACTTCTACTACACACCCTACATGCCATTTATGGAATCCAAACTTTCACCCTAAACCCCAAAGTTCTTTAGCAGGGAGATTTCTGGCAGTGTCTGGTTCTGAGGATGTGACTCTGGACCTGGGATTCAATGATTCAGTACTGCCCAGGAGATCAGATCATCCTCCTTCCATTCCTACCTCTCAGGAATACCTGTCATGGTCCAAGCTACAATGTGCTTCATGGGCTCAGGACTGAAGGAAGTTGGTCAAGACATGGGAGTTGGACAGGATGTATACCGAATTCATTGGGAACCCAAAAAGCTGACTATCTAATGCATCTATCAGAATATTCATGACATGAAATATCATGCAGTAAGTACATTCTGACTTAAGGAAATAATCAAGATACACTCAGTAGAAAAAGTAGGTTATGAGATTTATGGTATGATTACATTTATAAATACATATATATATCAATACAAAAAGACTGACAATTGGACATCAATAGATGAAAAAATGTTTAGGAAGTTATACATCTCAAGAAAGAAACAAAAAAATAAAAAATAAGATTATATCTCCATATATATTAACAACATTCATATTTTCATTATGATCATAATGTTTTTCCTTCAGGTAATCCACATAATAATTGTAACCATGGCCATGTATTACACAAACTCAATAATTTCTACATATGCCTATGTCTTGCCTAGAAAAAAAAAAATGAATGAAATTCCCCAAGTTACGCCATGGATATATTAATGAAATATTAATAATATTAATGGAATAATATTAATATATCCATGGCATAACTTGGGGAATTTCATCCTTTTTTTTCATTTTTATTTTTTGGAGGTTTTATTATTTTTGTGTTCCCCCTCCATTAATGAGGTTTTGATCTTGCTTTTCTTATGTTGACTGATGGATTTATTTTGTATCTGAACCTGTCTTAGACATGGTACCCTCCAGGTAACTACTGAATCACCTGATCCTATTAGGCTCACTTTGCAACTAACATTAGTAGAATAAAAACTATAAGGTATAAACCTTACAGAATAAATTCCATTTGCCTCCAAACGCTTGATCATGATTCAACAGTATTGCTTATAACTACCTTCCTATGAGTTCCTTAAAGTAGGTCCCCTAGACTGCCTACTGGCCTTTGTTGCTGGCTGCTGGCTGCCTTATCCCTAAGCATATTTTGTCTTTAAGGTAACAACTATGTCTTCTAAACACTGTATTATCCCCTAAGTGCAAGTATCACAGGGTCAGGGATTTGGGGCAAATTCTTTACCCAAAACTTCACTTCCAGAAATGTATTCTTAAGAAATAGCTAAAGAAGGGCCAGGCGAGGTGGCTCACACCTGTAATCCCAACACTTTGGTAGGCTGAGGAGGGCAGATCACCAGAGATTGGGAGTTTGAGACCAGCCTAACCAACATGGAGAAACCCCATCTCTATTAAAAATACAAATTAGCTGGGTGTAGTGGTGTATGCCTGTAATTCCAGCTACTCGGGAGGCTGAGGCAGAAGAATCACTTGAACCCAGAGGTGGAGGTTGCAGTGAGCTGAGATCGCGCCATTGCACTCTAGCCTGGGCAACAAGAGCAAAACTCCATCTCAAAAAAAAAAAAAAAAAAAAAAAAGAGAGAAAAGAAAAAAGAAAAAAATTAGCTAAAGAAGAAGCACACAAGATAAATACACAAGGATATTCAACCAAAAATAATTTCTGATAACTGAAAATGAGAAACTACATAATAGTAAGCAAAAGGTTTAATAAATTACAACCTGCCATACCCTCATTAGTTATGATGGTGTTGGTTCATATTAATTGATGAAGAAAGACATGCATGATCAAAAGTTCTGGTGTCAGACCTTTAGGATGTGAATTTGAGCTTTATAGTTACTAATTTCTCAACACTTCTGTTTCCTCATCAATAAGAAGGGTGAGAACAATGTCTACCACAGAAGAATAAGAAATCCATACAAAATAGTGAATGGTATATGATAGTTGTTTATAAGTTGTATTTTTTTTTTTTTTTTCAGAGACAGGGTCTCGCTCTGTTGCCTAAGCTGGAGTGCAGTGGCACAAACACAGCTCACTGCAACCCCAGCCTCCTGGGCTCAAGTGATCCTCCCGTCTGAGCTTCCCTGCCCAGTACCTGGAACCACAGGTGCATGACACCTTGCCCTGCTAATTATTCTTTTTAAAAACTGTTTGTAGAGACAGGGTCCCACTGTGTTGTCCAGGCTGGTCTCGAACTCCTGAGCTCAAGGAATCTTCCTGCCTTGGCCTCCCAAAGTGCTGGGATTATAGGTGTGAGCCACCAGGCTTGGCCACATTTTCATCATTATTATTGAAAATGAAGGCCGGGCGCGGTGGCTCAAGCCTGTAATCCCAGCACTTTGGGAGGCAGAGGCGGGTGGATCACGAGGTCAAGAGATCGAGACCATCCTGGTCAACATGGTGAAACCCCGTCTCTACTAAAAATACAAAAAATTAGCTGGGCATGGTGGCACGTGCCTGTAATCCCAGCTACTCAGAAGGCTGAGGCAGGAGAATTGCCTGAACCCAGGAGACGGAGGTTGCGGTGAGCCAAGATCGTGCCATTGCACTCCAGCCTGGGTAACAAGAGCAAGACTCTGTCTCAAAAAAAAAAAAAAAAAAAAAAAAATGAAGAATGTTATTGTCCCTTATCCCATTATAACAAAGAAACTTAATGCTATTCTATTTTGCTTACAGTAAAATATGTCCTTCTCAGACATGCTTTCTTATAATGCTAACTCAAATTTCACAGGCCAGCCTTGAGCCTGCCATTCTTCCTAAATAACAATGTGAGAAAAAAGGTCCTCAGAAACATATAGAGGAAAATACTCCTTCCTCCCAGAAGATACATAGAGATTCGGCATCACTGAGCTGCATCAGAAAATACAACCTGATTAGGTGTCAAGCTGAGAACTTAACCAGAGGCTCAATCTTGTTCTTCTGCACAAATTGGTGGTTTACTTACATATTTACAACCATAGCCTTCTTAGATTCTACCTCCTGGCATTTATACCTGTCCTTGGAAATATTATCTATAAAATGTATTTTTGGTAAAATGGCTGTATACTGGTGATTATTGCCATTGTCTGCAGAGGTAAGCTTTAAAATAATCTAATTCTAAAACTCTTTCTTGCCTGGTAATTCATTTTTAAATGACATTTCTATAATCCCAGAAGATGTCAATATTTGAGGGTTTTCAAATAAGGGACTCACTAACACTTCCCTCTTCTCTCTAAATATTCAAGATTAACATAAAACCTAGATCTGGATTGGATTTCTTTTTCAAACTAAGAACTAAAGAGTCTTCATTTACATTACCCATTACAATAATTTTATTCTGCAGAAAAAAAACCACACCCATAGGCACAAAGGAAAAAAGATTTAAACACAAATATTCCAAAGTGCCGAGTGTGTGGTGGCTCACACCTGTAATCCCAGCACTTTGGGAGGCCAAAGGAGGCAGATTGCTTGAGCTCAGGAGTTCAAGACCAGCCTGGGAAACATGGTGAAACCCCATTTCTATCAAAAACACAAAAAATTAGCCGGACATGGAGGCACACACCTGTGGTCCCAGCTACCTTCCCTCTGAGGTGGGAGGATCGCTTCAGCCTGGGAGGTGGAGCTTGCAGTGAGCCAATATCACACCACTGCACTCCAACCTGGGTGACAGAGTGAGACAGTATCTCAAAAAAGTAAAAAAAAAAAAACAAAACAAAACAAAAAAACCCACCAAAACATTAAGAATGATTAACTCTAGAGGATGTGATTTTCAGCTTTCTTCTCTGTATGTCTTCTGATTGCTGAGTTTTTTTGACCAAGCCTGCATTAATTCCATAATTGGAAATATAGACATTTCCAAATATAAAAAAACTGACAGGAGGGACATATTTCAGTCATTAAGAAAATTTAACAAATGGGGCCAATACTAAAAATCAGTGGGCCTGAAACAATTTACACCTACCAGCTCTTGAACTTCCTGTAGCTGTTACTCCTGGCAATGAGATACGTTCACTGTCAATATTCTCCTGTAAATCCACACAAATCAGATAAACCACCTTCAAAGTCTGAGGAAGAAAATAAATGTGCATAAAGAGAACAGTATTTGGTACAGGGTAGATGCTCAATAAGTATGGGTGCACCTCTCTGCTTCTTCACTGAATGACCAATTAAAGTAACATTTTAGATGTAATCTTTTAAAACATGTCTTCCAAAGCCCTGTCTTATTAGATGGGATTGATATGTAACAAAATATTCTTGAGCACTTTCATCCATAACTATAATGATTCCTTAAAATTGCATCATTTATATTTCTCCTTCCTTTGATTCTTTACAAACTTAATTTTTATTAGGTGCATATCATTCCATCATTAGATATACTGCAATTTACTTGACTATTTTCATTCTATTGGACACTAATTTTTTCAAGCTCCTTCCCCGAAATTACAATCTTTTTTCCAGAACAACAGAGCGAGATCTTTTTGGGTCATGGTCACTTTTGATAACCTCATGAAATTATTGACATTTTGCCCACTTAAAAAACACATTTACATATATTTACAAGAATTTGGTCTCAATTTCAAGGGGTTTTGGTCACCTGGAAGCTTGTCAGTGGAACAAGGAGACCTCAGTTAAGATTTCCTGTTCTAAGGCTGGGCACAGCGGCTCATACCTGTAATCCCAGCACTTCAGGAGTCTGAGGCAGGCAGATCGCTTGAGTCCGGGAGTTCGAGACCAGCCTGGGCAAGATAGCAAAACCCCATCTCTATAAAAAATACAAAAAAACTGGCTGGGCTTTATGGCACGTACCTGTAGTCCCAGGTACTCAGGAGGCTGAGGCGGGAGGATACCTTGAGCCTGGGAGGCCAAGGCTACAGTGAGCCACGATCATGTCCCTGCACTCCAGCATAGGCAAAACACCAAGACCCTGCCTCAAAAAAAAGTTTTCCTGTCTGAGGTCATTTGAGCATCTGGTCGCTTTTTAAAAAAATTTGCAAGCACCCATCACAATCAACTTCACATTTCTATTACTCTAATATATAAAAAGTTGATGGGAAATAATCCAGAAAAGCCCAGTAACAACAACTCAATATTCAGTAACAGCAACTCAATATTCAGTAAGCCCCTATCATGGGGATGGCACTGCTCTAGAAAGCTTCATACATAATAACTCATCTTACTTCATCACACTTCCATTAGGTAGCTACTATTCTGTCGCTATTTTATAGATGTATCACAGAGGGCCTGAATCAATTGTCTAAGTTCACACAGCTACCAACAGGCAGAGGCAGGATTTGAATTCAGATACTTTAGATCCAGAGCCTTAATTTTAACTACAACACAAGACAGCTTCTTACATGCCACACAAAGCTGGACTTGAAACAATTCATGCTTGGCAATGTTACAGACTTCTACCCAAAGATTATCTGAAGGTCCCCACTCTTGGTGCAAACCACAAATCTCTACGCTCAAAGCTCAATCATATTTCCACCACTAAAAGCCTCACAAAGCAGACAACATTGTCATATATTGCCAGAAATGTTCCCTTACTTAAAATCCCTCATACCTTGCCTTGCTTTAAGAATCATGACTATGGGCCAGGCATGGTGGCTCACACTGCAATCCCAGCACTTTGGGAGGCCAAGGCCAGTGGAACACTTAAGCCCAGGAGTTCAAGGTTGCAGTGAGCTATAACTGTACTACTGTACTCAGCCTGGGCAATAGAGTGAGACCCTAATCTCTAAAAAAATTTAAAATGTTTAATAATGACTACAGAAAAGATGAAAAAAATAGCCTGTATATGACACCACCTAATTACTAATTTCTTCAAATAATCACAGTCCAAAAGAAAGCTCTAACAGCAATCTACAAGAGGTGCCTTTCTATACCATCATAATGCACTGAAGAATTCGAACAATTTGGCATATGAACAGGTGGGAAAGAATTGAGGAGAAGAACAATAGGGGGTAATTGGGAGGAAATATGTACCAGCATGGCGGGTCATTTGACCGGGAAGACCCAGTCAAGATATTTCAGGCCAAGGAAAGAAAAAGTTCTCATGACCTAGAAGCAAAGGTAATTGAATGCATATGTATAAAAAATTGTACGTATAAAAAACCTCACCCAAATCTTGGTTTCTAAATATGCAAAAATGCTTTTCTCCTCTTCAAACTCCTTAGAAATCTAGAAATCTGGCAAACTCGCAGCACTGTGGAAAAACAGCAACATAAGACACCAGCATTTCTAGCACAGCACAGACTTAATTTAAAAAGACAAAACGAGAACAAAACGTTCTCTAGGGCCACTTCTGCCTCCATCCACACATAACCAAACGGAACGAGACGGGAGGCTAGAGTCTGTCTCTGTGTTGAGGGCAATTCTTGGGGACAGCGGTCTGGTTGCAATGGCCCTGAAACATGTATCTCGTCACCATAGAGCTCGCAGAGGCGCCTTTACCGGAATCGTACCTCTAGAACTTCCCCAGTCAAGAGCCTGTCGCGAGGACACTTCCAGATCTAAAATTCTCATCCTTCTCGCTTGAAACGTTCATTCTGGGGCTTAGCATAGACCTCTTTCTTGCGGTCATTTAACTGTGGCAGGCCCAAAGACAGGCTAAAGGGAACCTAGAGCATTTGCTCAAAGCAAATCACACAAATACGACCACGCACCCCATCACCCCCTCACACATTCACAACTGCACCCACCTCCGCGGAGACACGCCCCGGCTCTGCCACGCCGTCTGAGACACACTATCCCTCGGCTGCTCGCGTTGCACACAGGCTTGAAGACCCGGCCCTCCCCTGACCCAGCGCCCCCAATATCACCCCCACCCTCACTGCCGCTTCCAATCCGGTCCCAGTAAAGCCCGCCGAGCCCTCCCAGCCTCACCCGGACTGATTACTTCTACACACTCGGCCAACTTACCACACAGAATCCAAGAACTTTGAGGACGCCGTTAGAGGACCCGGAGCCCCGTGGTTAGTTTGGACCCAGAGGCTGATGGGAAACAAGAGCTGGGAAATGCTCGCAGGCTAGGAGCTGAGCTACGGGGAGTGCTTCTGGCAGGCAAGCCCGCCCCGCCCCTAAAAGACCTGTGTCCCGGAGACTTCTGGGAAATGCAGTCCACAGCGGGCGAGTCCCCGGAAGTTGAAACCGGGAGAGCAGGGATGCTCCCAGCATGCAACTCGGCTTCCTCTGTGAGAAGCGGTTTTCTGAAGACGACCGGGAGCTCTAGCCTTTGCTTGAGGGTCTTTGTTGAGTGAGAGCGAATTAAAAGGTTCTCAGCCTTCGCTGAGGAACGCATTCTGGAATCTAGAACAGGCGGAGATGGGACTGAGGTGTCTGGGGAGTTAGACCTGAGCAAGCAGGGGAATCCGGGGTAGGGTCCCTGGAAATGAACTGAGCGACACCACCAGTTTATCAGGGTATGAGCTCCTGGAACAGTGTCTGGCAATTGAACAGATGGGTGTGTCTTGCTGTGAGGGAGTTTGTTAGTCCGATTCGGTGTGTGGGACCCTGCGTGGACCTGTTTATGTTCATAGGATGGTTTCTAAGTTTATGCCTGTGTGAGTCTGTTTCATTAGATGTGAGATGAACCGTTAGAGATTTTACATGCCACTGTTGAAAGACAACAATAAGTGGTCGTGAGTGGATACTGTGACTGTGGAGTACAAAGGCAGCCATAAACAACACACAAGCAATCCAGCGTGGCTGTGTTCCGGTAAAACTTCATGGACCATAAAATTTGAATCTCATTCTTTTTTTAAAGAGTATGAAACCATTTATTCCGAAGCACACATTCATACATCAAAAACAATGCTATATATTCTCTGTCTCTCGCGTGTGTGTGCGTGTGTATGTGTGAAAAAATGTTTTAAAGGAGACAACTAACTGATTCGCAGGTTACAGCAAAAAGATTACGGCTGTGATGGTGTGGTAAGAACCTTTGGATATAAATATTTTAAAAAAAGAGGATTGTCAGGCCGGCCGTGGTGGCTCACGCCTGTAATCCAAGTACTTTGGAGGCCAAGGCGGGCGGATCACCTGAGGTCGGGAGTTCAAGACCAGCCTGACCAACATGGTGAAACCCCATCTTTAAAT